TGTTCTGGTCACACAGCTCTTAAGAGGTAGTGCTTGGGGCAGACGTGTTAGCAGGTAGTACCTGGGGAGGCGAGGGTGATGAAGAACTGTGTCCAAGCTGTTACTCAGCAGCCACCCTGTTACACAGGCCATTCACCCAGTCAGGAGAGGTGGTCCACAACATACACCCGCACTATACCAGCTCAACAGTGGACTTCAAGGGAGGCAGCTGCGCTTTCTGGTCTCATATGAACTCTCATTCTGTATGGGATGAACCTGTGCCCTCTCCAATGGAAGCACGATGTCTTAGCCACTGGACCACCAGGAAACTCCTCATCATTCTGCCATTTATCATTGGCTGTACTTTACTTTTGTATCCTGTAGAATTTTTAATGAACTTATTCATTGACTGTGCTGGGCCTAAGTTGCAGCGAGAGGGCTTTCTCTAGTTGAGGAGAATAGAGGGCCACTCTTCAGTTGTGCTTCTCATTGTGGTGGCTCCTTTTGTGGAACATGGGCCCCAGGGCACCTGAGCTTCTGTAGTTGCGGCCCCCAGGTACTAGAACACGGGTTCTAGTCATGGCGCACGCACGGGCATAGCTGCCTCAAGGCATGGGAGATCTTCCCGACCCTGGGAATCTGTGCCCCCTGCGTTGGCAGGCAGATTCTTAACCACTGGACCACAAGGGAAGGCCTCCTTTAAATTTTTCCAAAAATATGTATTTATTGGCTGTGCTGGGTCTTCGTTGCTGAGCCTGAGTTTTCTCTAGTTTTGGCAAGTGTGGTGGGAGGGCTTCACCTTGTGGTGGTTTCTCTTGTTGCGGAGCACAGGCTCTAAGGCTAGTGGGCTTCAGCAGGCACTGGGCCTCAGCTGGCTCCCGTGCTCTAGAACATGGGCTCGGCAGTTGAGGGGCACAGGTTTAGTAGCTTTGAGGCATGTGGGATCTTCCTGGACCAGGGATCGAGCCAGTGTCTTGTGCATTACAAGACAGATTCTTAACCACTGGACTACCAGGGACACTTTTCTTTAGATTTTAAATCTTATTTCACTTAACTCCTCCAAGTAATATCCTCCTGCCAATCTGAACTTACTGACATGTTCATAGAGTAGCCAGGTAGTCTTTGAACCCCTTCATGTGGACCACTAGAAATGCTCAGCTCCATAAACACAATTTAAATCTACTGTTGGTTTTTAAGGTGGGAAACAAGATAGCCAGGGAATGCACTTAAACTAGGAATCTATCTGTCATGAACTGTGAATCAGACGCTAGAGCTAAAAAGATACCCCAGGTTGAATGAGCAATCCAAGGGCAAGGACTCTGAAGTCAGGCAAAGTGGGGTTCAAAGCCCAGCTCAACCACCTAGATGACTCATCTCTGACAGGACAGAAAACTCTCCCAGGCCAAACAGTAAAGTGGGAATGCACCTACCTAAAGTGCTTAGGTGATTAATATATGGGAAATATTATCTAGAAGCTTTTCTCCCTAGATGACACAGAAACTCAGAATAGTTCAAGCTGGGGGCAACAATAAAGCAACATGCCAAAGTGTAAAAAAGAAAAACTGGTGATTATTAGCGGGAGGGAAGGAGAAACCGTGGAAGCTGGGAGAAATCGTGAAAGCTGGGGCAGTTAGCATGAATAAAATTCTAAAGAATGAAATCAGAAAAAGCATCAAGAGGTCAATTTAATAATTTTTAGAGTTAATTGTTTTTAACTACCAGGTAGTACTAACAAATCTGAAACATTTTATTTGACAGTTATTTCCATTTATCTACTTAAGATTCCTTCTATCTGCTCATCCCACCCCGCTGACCATTCTACACCCCCGAGGAGATACGTGATGAGGGTCAGCTTGGTACATTCAGTTCCACAGAAAAGAAACAAGATGACCGAAGTATCTAATTGCTTGTGATTAGGAAAAAAACCATCCCTTCTTCTTGACACCGGAATTCAAGCTATGATAAAGGAGACCGAAAGACAGTGAGTTCGAGTGAAATGTTTACATTTATATTGAAATATGCACTAAAACAGAATGAGTTCTACTAGTTAATGAAACTTTGCCAAAGCAGAATCACAAAACTTCCGTTGGGGAGGTCCAGTCAGCTAGCAGCAGTGATCCCCAAGGAGGAACACCAAGGAGAAGCCTGGGTGACCCCACCCCCAAAAGCCTCCTTTGAAGAGACCGCAATTCACTTCTCCCACATGCACCCACACAGATTTAGGAGCATAGCCATGCTCCTCATTTTCATAAATCTTTAGTTTCTTTTTTGCTGCAATAAATATAAAATTGGCAATGCTCATACACCACAGCACAGACAATATCTCAGGCTTTAGCATACAACTGTAAACAGTGACTAGGTTAAACAAATAAAAAAGGAAAAGAAAGTTGAACATTACTTTTAAATGACGACAGAATTCCTAAGAGCAAGATATGAGCTACTCAAGATTTGTTTCGGTGGGTTAAGGTTACTGACACAAAATTCAGCTTTAGTCATGTCTGGACTTGAGGTGGTAGCCAGTACACTGCCTGTAGGTAGCAGTCTAGAAATGTGTGGGGAGCAAAATACGCCCCAGCTCACCTCTGGCAGTACATTTCCAGCCTGCCACACTCAAGACAGGACTGCAGAAACCTTCACGGTGGCATCACCAGCTGCCATCTAGTATAGTAGGAATGGGTGGGCAAAGGAATGGGAATGTGCTGGGAGACCAACAGAAAAACACCTCGCTGGCTGCCTGCAAAACCGGCTCCTTAATTACGAGGACAATTAGGACATTTCACTTGGACAGTTCATTAAACTTCATATATATATGTGTGTGTGTGTGTATATATTTTTTATATATATATATATGAAATCTAAAGATTAGGCATTAAGTTCTGTCACTGCAGCAAAGTGGGGTGTCAAATGAAGAGAAACAGATGAACACTTTTTGCCTAAAGCAGCGCAAAGAAAGCTGCAAGAAATGACAGTGGACTCAGTATCTGCACTGTTAGCAATGGGGCTGACTTTTATTTCAAAGACTAGTGGTTCAAATACTATTGCTCGAATAGCTCTGGTAAATATAAAATGTAGTAACATCCAAGGTTTATACACAGAAGCAAAGCGCTGAAGGTCAGCTGACAAAGGGATATGTGACTCTTAGTCAAGAGAGAAGCTAAAAGTACATGCTGCAGGAGTGACCTAATGGGTTTGGACTGTACTCCCATCTCTGACAACAGAAAAAGACCTGGAGAGGAAACAGTTTTTCACACATAAAACTGTGGCTTAATTAATTCTCCTCCCTAGAATTATACCTCAGCTAAGAAAAAAAATCTGTCCTGAAAAACTCAAGAGCCTGGGCTACTAAAAATAAAAAGGAAAATTTAATATACTAAACAAGTTTAGTAAACATCACATATATTTTCAGTTGTTAATGAAGACATGATACATTCAAAAGTTGTTTTAAAAGACCAAAAAAAAAAAAAGACCCCACAAAATATCTAGAAAGCCTTGACAAGAAAAAAATCAGCCGAAGTTCTATCTCTTTCAATCAGATGTAGCTTTTAGCACAAACCACAAATCCCCCTCCAACACACAACAGCAATGCCATGTACCTTGCAAGCCAAATATGAAATGTATGCCTTAGTTACTGAACTTGAAAGTTAAGCTGAATCTCTGCAGAGCCCATCTGGATGGGTTACTTCAATATCCACCTGGTCCAGTTTAAAGTATTCATTTGTAGATCCAGTTTGTATATATTCCATTGGTATATTAAATAATAAACCACCTGCTCCTATTATTTTTTAAATGGCAGTTCTCGTAGCTCATCAAACCATTAAGATTACAAAGAGCTCTCTTGAAAGAAATTCACAGGTGAAGACATATTAAGGAGAAATCCTGAAGGTTACACAAACCTAGTTCTTTTTTTTTTTTTTAACTAAAACAGGGGTGATCAAATAGAATGCTTATTCTGAAGAGCAGTTGCACTGTTTCCCCATGAGAAGAGGCCAGATTTTTCTGGACTGATAATTTAAAAACTAAGCCAAGAAAAAAAGTCAGGTCTTATGGAGTTGGAAACAGAGTTCCAATTTTTTCCCCCTAAAAGAAGGAAAACTGTTAACAGGTTTTAAGGGAGAAACAAACCAACCAATCAGAACTCTGAACATGGACAGCACTACACAGACTCTATAGCACAGAACACCGCACAAGAATGAGTTACACGTCAGTAATACCATCGTGAGAGTGACTGGCTGGGGGCTTCTACTTCCAGCAACAGAGCTCCTAGGTTAAAAATGTGCTAAAAGCTTGTAATGTCAACAAGGACCCCCCAAAAAAGAGAGGGGATGAGGGGGAATAGAGGAAAGGCTGCATGCATGGGTCTATTCCAGACATGATATTCAGCAGCATAAAAATAATACCCTCAACAGAGTTCCCCAGATGGGGCCAAACCTATTTTTCACTGCTGAGCATGGGAAGGATTAAGAGTGGAACAAATTCACTAGTGACTATAGCATCTCCCATATCTGAATGACAAGCACGTTCAATCTGATGCTATATGTTGCTACAACATTGAGAATATGTATGAGTAAAGCAAAATAAAAAAGACTAAATAATGAACTTTAACAACTGGAAAAACATCTGTTTTAAAGCCAAGTAGGTGTGATTCTAATCATTATTATATATGACATAATCCACACAAAGAAAGGCCAAGCATCTTCATTTTGTTCAGTACTTAGGCTTGATGTTGTCCTAGGAAAAACAGTGATAATTCAATGACTGTGTCACACATATAACTAAAAAGTCCCCTTCTAGTTTCAAATGAATTTAAACAACCATCTTCCTTGGCTAACTTTTCTCCTGTGTAAAACAAACCTTCTATGTACAGGACCAGTTTAAATCCCTCCTCCCCTTCAAACACTAGATAGGAACATTCAAGAACATTCGACAATGCAAAGTGCCTTAAGAAAGAGAAGGATTCTGTAGTGCCAGTGATAGAACTGATCTGAGGAGGCTGGGATGCTAGTAACACTGATGGGAGCCAGTCAGGCAATGGTGGTTTGTTTTTCCTCAGGTGTTTCCTCCAACAACTGCATGATCAGTTCATGGAGGGGTTTGCAGATCTTTGCATAGCCACCTCCTGTGAGATGCAGAAAATCAAACATGTCGTGGCAGGAGATGGCACCGTCCGAGTGCACGAAGCCCCCATCTGTATCCAAGAGCTGAACATTGGCAAGCTTCGGCAGGGAAACCTTGAGGAGCTGGTTCACCTTGGCATTCTTTTGCCTCAAAGGGTTGGGCTTCTCACCTCGAGGTAACAAACCCTAGGGAAGAGCAGAGAAGAATATGAGAAGACTCACTGTTTTTCTCTACTTACTTGTGACTTCAAATATCCCTGAACTCTCCATGTAGCATTTTTTATACCTTTGATTTCTGAAACACTGGACTAGGCCCATCTTAATAAAAAGTTCTCTGACTATGCCTCCTTGGTTTCTTCCCAGCTTCCTTTTCCTCCTCCTGTTTCTTAATTGCTGGTATTCCTCAAGGTCTTGTCCTTGGGCCAGTACTCTTCCCATTCTACATACTTCAGCCCAGATCACTTCCACAGCTTCAGAACTCCTATTGAATGTCCAGGTATAGAACCAAACTTGAATGTCTCTCAGGCACTCCCAACTCAACAAGTCCAAAAACCATTTATCATCTCCCCTAGACTAAGTTCCTTCCACATTCTCTATGGCAACTGTCCTTTCAACATCCCTGAGTCTCTCATCCCATAAATCGTGTCTATTTATTGTTAAATCACTCAGCTTTTACATCCTAAATATTTTTCCAATCCATTCTCTCTTTCTGATTATAAACAACATTGTTATTTATTTATCACTACTCATCTCAATTAATGTAAAAATCTGACTGACCCTCCTCCCTTCAGTAGTATCTTCCTTCAATTCATTCTCCAAACAGTCCCCCATACAGCTAGAACATCTGAATCAAACACACATCTATTCATCACTGTCATCTGAAACCTCACTAGCACAGATGAGAAATGGAGCTGGAACAAGTGCTGTCTTGATGAATCATCTGGTAGTATGAAAAGAGATGTGGCAGGTACAAGATGAGTTTGGAATATCCTGAATGACAGAAAGTAAAGAAGTATCCCCCCAAAAACGATGGGGCATGGTCACAAGCATACAGCAGCCAGGTAAAAGGGACTTTCAAATGGCCAGATCCAAGATAATTTGAAGTGTGCTGTAAGTATAAAACACATACAAGATTTCAAATGTTCAGTACTCTCCCACCAAAATATACATATTAGGGAACTCTGCTCAATGGTATGTGGCAGCCTGGATGGAAGGAGAGTTTGGGGGAGAATGGTTACAAGTATATGTGTGGCTGAATTTCTTCACATTCACCTGAAACTATCGTAACACTGTTAATCGGCTACATTCCAATACAAAACAAAAAGTTCAAAACAATAAACAAAAGAGAGATGTGTCCTCAATATGTTTTTAACTTACTTGTTAATGATCTAATATATTTTACAGCTAAATCAGGTGTCTGTCCTCCTCCTATAGTAAATAAAAGCTGACTCTTATATGGCAAGAGAAGGTTTTATTATCTCAAACTAGAAATGGCCTTTATAGATAATTGATTCTATTATAAAACTGTCAGAAATCCCCCAACCAACCTTTTAGCTGGTTTACAGCTCATGATGCCACAACAAGTTGCTATTTAGGCAAAAATGTTGCCACTTATTTCTCCTACTTGATAAGAGGTCTTATTTCATAAAAATGGGTTTTCTGTAGGCATTCTACTAAAAGAACAAAAAAAGTTTTATGCCTAGAGGAAGTACTTACTCCTGTCTACTTTAAAATTTTTCAGCAAGATGCTGGGCTTTGATTTTCAATTTGCTGTGTGACTGTACAGTTCCAAAGAGAGCGACAGAACTATGAATATGATATGCCAATCCATCTCCTTCTATCCCTGTTAAGTGCAAATGAGGTCAATCCCAAATCCTAGTTTATATGACTGTTAAAAGTGTAAGGTTCTGCATGTAACAGTTAATAAAGAAAAGCAGCCCTCACTGCTGGCACATCAAAGCTTGGCTGAGATATAATGAGCAACTGGGAAGGATGGTCAGCGACCAACAAACACATATGCTGTTCTGATTTTCAGAGAATGTCACAGCAGTTGAAGCCATAAAAACGTTAAGCCGCAAAAGCAGAGCACCATCCCTACTGGGACTGTCAAGCAAGGATGAGAAAAGTCATTTATGTTTTGTGGAACATTTTCCTTAATTTATCAAGGGTATGCCATGTGATCTGTGATTTTTCTCTGTAGTAAGTGGTAATTGCTAATGTTAAAGGAGACAAAAAATTAGAATCCTAATTCTTTTACCATGTAACAACAATTTTAAATTCATTTCCTTTTCTAACTTGCATATTCACTTTCAAGCAATTCCAAATATAATATACATTCTGTTTAGCATTCAGACTTTTCGCTTAAATAATACTGTAAATTTTGTTTGCACACAGACCTTGTAATTGTCACATGATTAGTGCTATTATATTCAATGACTTGTGTAATCATTCTCCCATGGAGTTGATTATTTAGGTTATTTCCAATGTTTAAGTATTGCAGATGACACCACTGTATATCAAACTCAAAAGCCTGGCTGAAACAAAGAATATTTACGGAGGATTTATCCAGCAACATTCAGGCAACAAGTATGTCCTAAGCAACTACAATGTACCAGCCACTGTACTTCAGAGATGGGATTCTTAACCACAATGTAATCCTTTCTTGAATAAGGCAAGATCTAAACAAGTAAGTTTAAATACCATGTAATAAAAAAACAAGACCTGGCTCCCCAGAACTCTGTTATAATATCCAAACTCCTACAATGGGAACTGTGGCCTCTTTCTCCTAACTATCCAAGTATCCAACTATCCTAACTATCTCTAAGACCTGAACTTTATTCCATGATAACCTTCAATTCTTACAGTACCCTCCTCCTTCACTCACCCAACAAACACATACATGAAGTCTTTGATCATTTCCTTCCTTTCTTCCTTCCGCTTCCTCTTCTCTGTAATACTTTCTCTTCTTTAATTTCTCCGTTTGTCTGGAGACCAATGAATTTTTTGAAACTAAACTCAGATGACAACTTTTACGTATTTATCCTGCTATGTCCATCCACCAGCTCCTTGAGAGGGACTATGTCTAACTCATCTCTATATGCTCAGGACCTAGGAGAGTGCCTCGTACATAGTGATTCTCACACTTTTTTTGAACAAATGACTACCTTAATAATATTTATCTCATTAAAAAACGGAATATATACCAGCTGTCTCAAAAACATCTTTTTAGCTGGCTAAGAATGTCTACAGGTAAACTTTAACACTGAAATAGACAGCTGTTTACCCCTGAGATCATAAAGACAATGCTTTTAATTCTACGAAGGGCAGAGTTTCCTGGAGGGGTAAGGTTATGAAGTACCTATTTTCTTCCTGATGGAATCTCTGACATATTTTAAAGAATTCAGAGATCCTGATAAATACACCATCTTTACTATATTAACAATGGAATAAAACAACAGATCTAGGCTAATCTAAACTCAGGTCTAATGAAAAGAGAACTCAGGGGACTTCCCTGGTGGTCCAGTGGCTAAGACTCCACGCTCCTGATTCAGGGGACCTGGGTTTGATCCCTGGTGAGGAAATTAGATCCCACACACTTGCAACTTACAAAAAAAAAAAAAAAAAAAAAAGATCCCTCAGGCTGCAACGAAGATCGAAGATCCTGAATGCCATAACTAAGATTCCGTGCAATCAAATAAAGAAACAGTAATAACTAAGACTACCTTAGGCAACAAAGAGGACTTACAATTCTAAATAAGGATGAGCAGAAAAAAGATAATCCCCACAGCTGTTCTAGGAAATAATGAGACCCACAAGACAAAGGCCCAGATCAGACAAGAGCTTCTCAGGAGCATCATAAGCTGCTTCCAACCTAAAGATTCTCTATATTCATGACTGATCCCATTGCTAAGGCACCTCACCTTTACTTTAAGATACCGAGGTCCCCACCCACCCGAAGCCCTCATACCAACACAATGATTTTGGCCTGTGGCTGCCGGGTGTTGATAAGCTGGACAATGGCCTCGATTCCACCGGCTACTTCCTCTGCTGTATTTTCATGGTTGTTTGTTCCTACCCAGACAACGATGACCTGTGATTGACAGAAGGAAGAAAAGATACTCAGGAGTAAAGGAATGTCCACCAGTTAGCTGAAAATCTTATTTCAAAATCAAAGAAGGAAAGATGGACTTCTCAAGTGGTTAACTTCAACAGGGCAGGCATCTTAAACAGTAATGTAGGCCTCATATATATTAATATCAGAATAAATTCCAAACAGAGCAATACTTAAGTGGTAAAGTTGTGATAGGAAGAGATGGGGAAATGTCTTTATCATTGTGGAGTTGGTAGTTAATCTCTTAAAATCTAGTAACTATACAAAAAAAAATTAACTGTATAAAAATAAAACCACTGCATGTCAAAAAACAAAGTGAAATAAGAAACATGGGAGAAAATATAAGTAACATTAAAAGACTCTAGCAGATGTAACCTTCTAGAAAAAACAAAAATAAAAGTACCCAAGGGAGGGTATTAGGTACAAATACACAGTTCTACTTAAGGTAAAGTCAGTGGCATGGAGGCTGGATATAGTTTTCTGAAGTTTTTCTGCTTTAACAAAAAATTTTTATATGGTGACTATCATCTATGGACACACATCTTACTATGTAACCCAACAAAGTAATTTCCACCGAGCACAAAAAGAATATGCATGAGTTTTTCTATTAGAAAGGCAAAAATAAAATACTTTCTACTACAGCCAACTGTTATCAGTGCCTCAGCTTTTTTCTCTTTTTGTTGTCTGGGGTTGGAAAAACTTATATGCAGCATGCCAACTCAGGACACTGATCATTTGATAAGGCACTGGGTACATGTTTGTGCTGAACATTTGTTCACATCTGCTTCAAATTTCCTTTAGAAGAACTTGGAGGCCGTGATTACCAATGTTTGTGTGTTAAATGAATCCAAAATTACTTCCTCAAGCGAATCATAGACCTGCTCCAATGGTTCACCTCTGAGCACTTTCCTCCCCTTACTGCCTCAGGTCCACAGAATAGCAAACCTCATTAGCATCAAATCTCTTCCAACTCCAGACCAGGATAATTATAACAATAACAATTTCAAGTATGAACAAAACAAGCAATACACTGACCCGTAATTAATCATGTATTTGGAATGTTCTTAAACAATGATAAAACCATCTATCTTAAATAGGCACGAAGCCAAGAACAATGAAATAATGGTTTAAAGAAGTAATTGAAAAAAAAAATTTTAACACTTAACTTTTTTATTTATTTGGCTGAGCCAGGTCTTAGTTGTGGCATGTGGGATCCAGTTCCCTGAGCAGGGATCAAACTCATGCCCCTGCATTGGGAGCATGAAATCTTAACCACTGGACCACCAGCGAAGTTTCTGACAATTTAACTCTCTGCAAAAGACTTAAGGTTAAGGTATTTGTTTTTTTTTTTTTTTTTTTTAAAGCTTCATTTCACCTTAGGTTTAATATTCTCCAGTTCGCCATTCTTTAGTCTCCATAAAACATGTCTTGTTGTATCTCCCCCAATTCCAAAATTCAGTGCATGAAGTGGGGAAAAAAGCTCTCGCCATATCTAAAAAGAGAAAAATTCATTTATTTAAGCTAAAATTATTGGGAAATAAAATCTCTCAACTGCAATGTATTGTGAGGCATTTGAAATAACAGCTTCCTTCTTCTGTATTCAAAAATTAACACCCCAAGTGGCATGCTCCCAACTGCGGAAAGCGCTTTGTAACTCAGTTCTCAGTGTAGCATTAGGCCTCAGGTCAAGACCTGAGTCACAACGCAGAGGTTGTGACCACTTACGAGATACCAACATTTATAATTAAGCAGTCAACTCAATAAATTCATCTTTCCCTTTATTAAATCATGTAAAAGAAATGAGGTGAAGTAGAAACATGTGATGAAAAGACTTAAAGAGTGCTAAAGACAAAAAGAAACCTATCTTTTCTTTTAAATTTCCCTTGGGAGAATGCCCAAACAGATTCAAAAGTTCACCCCAAAAATACATAAAATTTTTAAATGGTAAAACACAAATAGTAAGAATTGAGCATCACAGCTAGGCCAAACAAAAATGAGCAAATACAAGCAAAGAAAGAGTAAAATGCAAATAAGAATTGAAAGTCATGACTAGGACAAATATAATGTGAGGCTTCTTGGAAGCCAACGCAAAAGGGGAGTGTACTAATAAACAATGCTACATTTTCTGTCTCATGCTTGATGGCACCAAGAATCCCATCAAGTAGGTTTGATTTCCCTTCTAACTCTGAATTAGAGTGGAATGGATCAAAGTCTGTTATTGACGGATATGCTGACATTAGCAGCCAAGGACCACCGTCGCCCCCTTCACTTTACCTCATACTGCTGCATCAACTGTACCATGAAGTCCCCCACAAACAGGACATCCGGTTCTTTGTCTTTGCAGTCCAGGACAAATCTGTTGTGCTGGTGTGAAGAAGAACGAACAGTCAGAAGATGGCATTTCTTTCCCTGTGAGATTTCCTGGTTTAGTCGGAGCAGTTGTCCAACCAGTTACTCTCACTAAACATTCTCTTTGGTCTGTCCCTAAAGCTGATTCCTCTCAGCTGCAATTAACTGCTGGGTCCTATTGAACTGATCATTCTCCTGTGCTCAGGAAAATTGGAACGCTTCAGAAACAGGAACAGAAAAACGCAGTCACATTTTTTTTAAAAATAAAGCTTATCTTTTCCTCCAACTCTTATGAAGAACACTTCAGACATATGAAAAGCTGAAGTAATACAATAACTACCTGTACACACTCCACCTACATTCAACATTTTCCCATATTTGCTTTATCTGTGTGTGTTTGCTGAATCATCTGAGGGTAAGCTGCAAATACTCTCATTCTTCACCTTTAAATATTCCACATGCTAGGAATTCCCTGGTGGTCCAGTGGCTAAGAATCTGTGCTCCCAATGCAGGGGGTCCAGGTTCCATTCCTGTTCATGCTAGATTCCACATGCTGCAACTAAGACCTCACATGCCACAATGATGATTGAAGAACCCACACGCCACAACTAAGACCTGGCGTAGATAAACACATTTAAAAAAAAAAAAAATTCCACAAGCATCTCCTAAGCATAAGGGTAGTCTACCGTAAAGCCACAGAACTACTATCAATACATCTAGGAAAATGAACAATAATCCCACAACTAATATTCAATCTTTACAATGGTCCCAAGAACTGGATAAAGTATTTTATATGTATCTATTTTTTAAGCTAGGATCCAATCAAAAGGCATGCATTTTATTTGAATGATTTTAATATGGTCTTTGACAGTGTCTGCTAACCTCTCAATGTGAGTTGGTGGTAAACTAAGAGTTAGGCTTTTTCAGTCTAATCCAAGTTTCTAGGCTGGGCTGACCTAGACCAGGCATGCTCCTCTCTGCTCTCAAGGTAAAAAGATTTTATTCATTGATGCTAAACCAAAGGACACAGTTTAAGTTTTTATATTCATCCCTGAAACAAATTAACACAACGCTTTAGCAGGTCTCTAAGCCAGTTCTATAGAAAGGTCCAAATGCGGTTTCTTTTTCTCAAACGCTACATTCAATTATGCTGCCCCTAGGAATTAAGGTGGAGATGCTACGTAAGTATTTCTGTTGATAATACAAGTGGATATGACACTGTGCCGAAACTGAGATATTCCACTGAGACTGGTAAAAATACAAAAACATTTCTGGAAATAATTTGACAATTAAGACATCTCTTAATTTAACAGGATTTGGGATAGCTTTTTCTTTCCTGTGTAAACGATTTTTTTTTTTGCATATGTGCTGCCAAAGCAAGCACTTTAGAGTGTTTTTTTTTTGGCTGCACAGTGTGGTGGGATCTTAGATCCCCAACCAGGGTTCAACCATTTTTAAAAACTTATTATTATTTCAATAGTGTTTTTAAACTTAAGGGATAAGATGAGCAAAAATAAAACTTTAATTTCACTGAGTAGTGCTCTTTCACATCATGTCATCTCTCTGCGGGTACTCAGGTATCAACTACTTCTCAATACCAACAAAACAGCTCATGTTTAAAGAATATCATGGAATCTAAGCTCTGCTGTTCTAATGGTTTCAGTCCTTTACATTTTCTTTTTAAATAGCTGCAATGAGCTTTGAAAAACAGAAAAGATCAAAGCAAAATACCTACAGCCCTACCATCTTAACCCAGTACCTATTAATGTTTTGGGGTATCTTTTCTCATCATTTTTTCACATGTTCCCCATTCCTCCCCTGCCTTAAAATAGTTGAAACATATGCACATCTCCTTCTGGCAACACAGCTTTGGGGACAGAAAAACCCATGTGCAAATTCTAGCTTAACTATTTTCTGGTCAGTGACCTTAAGCAAGTACATAACCCAAGTTTTCCAGATCTGCTGACAACTGTTTTAGAGTTGTAAAGATGAGAGTTCCATAAAAGGGACCCAGCTTTTTGCTAGCACCCAACAGGTATTCAATAAATAGGGCCATTATAATTGCATATAACATTAAAAACATTTTTCTATGTGGCTACATGATTTCCATAATCATAATTTTTTAAAAATTTTATCACATAAATTTAAAAAAATTATTCATTTACTTATTTGGCGAGGCCACACAGTTTGTGGAACTTTAGTTCCCTGATCAGGGATTGAATCCAGGCCCTTTGCAGTGACAGCATGGAGTCCTAACCACTGAACCGCCAGGGAATTCCCTATAACCATAGTTTCTAACACTACTTAATATCCTACCGATGCATCCAGTGAGATATGCGTATTTTTTTTTTAGCTCTTTTCCTAATGAAAGATTTGCCAGGACCCTCCTATTGACTGAGATGAAGAAATTTACATGCTTTGTTGTTGTTGTTTTTTTTTTACATGTTGGTAAGTTTTAGGTCAAAGATTCACACTTTTATGGATCTTGGAGATATTTCCAAATTCTTAACAAAATGGCTATTGGCTTATCTATACTGACTCCAGCATGTATAAGAACTCATTTTACCATAGTCACACCTGTACTGGTCATTAATATTTTCCTCTCCCTCCTTCTTCTCATTGTTTTAATCTGTACCTTTTGGAAACAAAAAGTTAAACAGTTCTTGCCATGCTCATTGAGACACTTATCTAGTATATCTGAGGATATTTTTTACTGATAATACAACAAAAAACATCAGTGCATCATCTATAACATTTATTGCAAATACTTCTGTCAGTCTGCTGCTAAGCCTTCTTTAGCTGGTTGCTGTTTTGATATGATTTGCTATAAAATTTGTCTACAGTCAAGTCTTTTATTATCACCCTGAAAAACAAACCTTTTACTATGGAAAATGTTAAGCATACAGGAAAGCAGAGAGGACCACACAATGGATCTCCATATATCCATCACCAATTACAGCAATCATCTAACTATGGCCATTATTAATTCAACATTCCAGAAACTACTGCCCCACCTCATTCTCAGGTTACTTTGAAGCAAACCAAAGATGGAGCATTTCATGTATAAAAATTTCAATATGTAACTCTTAAAAGATTTTTAAAAATTCACTAAAAAAATACCAGTTCTACTCTTCTAAAATTAATAGCAATTCTTTAATATCAACAAAATAGCTAGTGTTCAAACTCAATGTTACAAAATTTTATGTTTTTTAAAATCAGGATCCAGACAATTTGTCTCTTAAAATTCCTTTTAATGTACAGGTTCCACCTCCCTCAGTCACCTCCTTCCAAACTTATTTTTTAAGGAATACGACTGTCTGACCTATAGAATTTTAGGTCATAGCCTAATCTCCATAGTCTGGACTCTGTTGACTACATTCCTGTGGTGGTGGAGGACATGTTCATTGGTTCCAGCTACTTCTTGATATGTGGTACTTAAGTCTAGATTAGGGATGGACAGTTTGGCAATACTCCATGAGTATCACTTTTTTGAGTTTTAATCATGATTATTTTTTAATTTGTTTTTAAATAATTTCAGATCTACAGAAGATTTGCAATGATTGTACAGTATTTGTACAGAAGCATAGTACATCTGTCAAACATAAGACATTTACATTAGGAAATACTAGCAAACAAAATAAACTGCAATCACAACTCACTAATTTTTCCACTAATGCCCATTTCCTGAATCAATCTGGGATATTATGCTGTATTTAATCTCCATATCTCTTTTAGTCTATCCCAATATGGGACAGTCTCTTGCTTTTTCCTTTTCTTTCATAACCTCAACACATTCAGCTGTGCTCAGGTGTTCTGCAGATGGTCCTTCAATTTGGGTCTGTCTGATGTCTTACCATGAACAGACTGAGGTTATGGGTTTCTGGGGAATACGATGACAGAGGTAATGTGCCCCTGTTTATCACATCAGTGGGTACATGATACCAACATGACCTACTACTGGTGATGTTAACACTGATCACTTAGGTAAGGTGCTGTTTGCCAGTTTTCTCCACTATCAAGTCACTATTTTCTGTTCCACACTGTTAGAAGAAAAACACTAAATTCAGCGCTAGTTCCTACAGGGAAGGGTATCAAAAGATGTGCAGTCATATGTTAAAGCTACCAAAGTAATTTACAAGGAGATACTACGCAAATCCATTGTTTCTCCTTAAAGCTGTGTTCACCAATGTTAGTATTCCTCAGTGGATCTTGCCTACAGTACTGAAGTGTCCTATCCATGGTTTTCTTTTTCCTCCTTCCTTCTATATTTATTTAAATTATTCTGTAAAGAAGATTTTGCCCTCCTCTCCTTTTTATTCATCCATTCATTTATTTACAGGGAATGGATTAATGAATACTTATTCTTAGTTATAAACCAGTATTATCAATTATTCTCTTGCTCAAGTTGTTCAGCACTGCACTTTGGGTGCTCGTTCAGGTCTGCTCCAGGTGGTCGAAGTTAATGCCATCAATGAGAGAACCAACACGGTGTGTGTTCTGCGTGCTGCACTGCAGACCCAGCACTTCAGCGGTATTTCTACTGTCCATCTTTCTCCCCCTTCCCTTTTCTTTCTTGAGTAGTTCCTTGTTTTCTTGCACTGTAAGATGGTCCAGGCCCATCTTTTTATTTTCTTTGCCTCGGCTATAAAATCAATGATTTCTCCAAAGAGCCCTGGTTCCTTTCACTGGAGAACTGTATTTAAAAGCCAAGATCTAGGTGCACAATATATTTTAATACAATTAGTCCTTCCATATTATACAAGCTTTTTTTAAAAAAAATTAATGAATCAGTTCTAATGAGATGGATGAAACTGAAGCCCATTATAGAGTGAAGTAAGCCAGAAAGATAAAGATCGATACAGTATACTAACACATATATATGGAATTTAAAAAGATGGTAACGATAACCCTATATGTAAAACAGAAAAAGAGACACAGATGTACAGAACAGACTTTGGGACTCTGTGGGAGAAGGCGAGGGTGGGATGATCTGAGAGAACAGCACTGAAACAAGTATACTATCAAGGGTGAAACAGATCACCAGCCCAGGCTGGATGCATGAGACAAGTGCTCGGGGCTGGTGCACTGGGAAGACCCAGAGGGATGGGATGGGGCGGGAGGGGGGATCGGGATGGGGAACACATGTAAATCCATGGCTGATTCATGTCAATGTATGGCAAAAACCACCACAATATTGTAAAGTAATTAGCCTCTAACTAATAAAAATAAATGAAAAAAAAAAAATTTAAGTCATGTTCTTTCGACTATTTTTTTTTCCCAGTCAGTGCTAATTATTTAACGTCTGCTAAATTTATGCCAGAAACTACACACACACACACACAAAATAAATAAATCTAGGTTTATCACTACTTTTCAGCAAACTTATAAATGACCTAAGTGCCCATCAATGAGAAAATGAACAACCAACCCACTGTGGTATAAAGCAACAAAATACTAAAGAGGGGAAAAAAATGAATCAATTATAGCTATACTTTTAACCTGTATGATATACTGCAGAGAAAACACATTCAGAAAGATACCGAAAGATAAATACAAAGATACTATTTACATAGTTTAAAAACGTGCAAAAATACTAAATACATTGTTTAGAGATTATATATGTAGTATTCAAATAAGTGAAAAAAATTCAGGATACTTGGGAGGCAGGAAAGAGAAAGAAATGTGATCAATGAGGCATATATGGGAACACAATTCTTTCGGCAATGCTGTATTTTTTTAGAGTGAGAAGCAAACACACAGATGCTCAAAATATTTCATAATACCTTTAAAAAAAGTACGTATCTCTTTGGCTAAACTGGGTCTTAGTTGCAGCATGTGGGATCTAGTTCCCTGATCAGGGATCAAACCTAAGCCCCCTGCTTTGGGAGCACAGAGTCTTAACTACTGGACCACCAGGGAAGTCCCCATAATACTTTCTGAAAGATATAAACAAATGAGAAAGATTAAGAAAGAATAACAAAGTAATTGATCCATAGGAGAACACTCAAAATAAAAAACTACCACTCAAAATATAATAGCTAAAGGCTGATTTTTAAGCCCAAAAAGACAAAAACAGAAAGAGAATACAACTATGAAGAGTACAAAAAGAATCATGAAATACTAAAACAGGAAACTTTGGAGACTTCAAATCATATAGAACTTGTTAGTTCAAAAGATAATATGGTTCAAAATAGATAAAGGGTAAATATACTTAAGTGATAACACTTTATTAAAAGTAAGCTACAAATATTGAAAAAAGAAAAGGTGCTAAAAAAAAAAAAAAACCCAGTGGGACAAAAAAGGGGGGGAAAAAAGCCCAAAAACAAAATAATAGGACATATTAAGACGGCAACGGCACCAGAGATTGAAGGGATTCCCACTTGATAAACCTGGGATAACCTGACTTTCAAAATTACAGTGGATTAAAACCCACTTGAATAAAGTAAGAACCTATGAATCTGTATTATAACAAATTAGGACTGGTTTACGGCAACACTATCTTAACCAAGTGATCGAAGTTAGTATCACCAATGAGACAAGCCAACGTCAAAATGCCTTCTATGTGATGCACAGAAGGCATTACTTCCCTGATATTCCTGCCAAAACAGGATAATCTGAACCCTGATTACAAGAAAAGAAGACAAACTCAAACTGAGGGACACACCACAAAATAAACAGCCTATACAAATGGTCAAGTCACGAAAAACAAATGCTAAGAAATGTTTCTGATTAAAGGGGAATAAAGAGATATGTGACAATCAAATGCAATGTGTGATCCGAGATTGGGAAGAAAACTGATATAAACAACAGACAACTGAAGAAATATGAATATGGTCTTTGCATTTGTTAACAGTATGGTGGTTTAGTCGCTAAGTCGTGTCCGACTCTTGCAACCCCACGGAGCCCGCCAGGCTCCTTTGTCCATGGGATTCTTCAGGCAAGAATATTGTAGTGGACTGCCATGTCCTTCTCCAGAGGGAACAGTATACTGTCAGTGTAAAATTTCTTGATTTTAATAACTATACTGCAGTTATGTGAGAGAATGTTCTTTTTCTTAGAAAACACTCAAATATTTAGGGGTAAAGGAGCATCATGAACACTGCAACATAGTTTCAAATGATTCAGAAAAAATAGTAAGTTGGTAAATAGTATAAACAGATTCCAACAGAATAATTATGCAGACACAGCAAAACGTTAACTGGCAAATCCAGATTAAGGATATAGGAAGTTCTTTCTAAACTGTTTGTAATACTTGTTGCATATGCATATATATATGCATATAAGCATATATATACTTATGAACTTTGAAATTTAAAAAAGCTTAAAAAAAAAAAGAAACATCACTATCTACTAAAATTAACAAAGGGCAATGAACATGCTTTAAAATATTCCTCAGTTCCAACATCAGATGGTGATTAGAATGACATCTCTAACATAAAAAATTTTTATTTACAGTAATCAGTTCTTGTTGACCATTAAAAACACCCTTTTGTAGCTTTGGTCAAGACTCTAAAAATCAAAGAAATTCATCTATGTGAATAATAACACGTGCACCTCCCCTACCTGAGACATCCATCTGTCGTCTCCTTGAATGTCTTCTGCTGCATGTGGAATGGCTGCTGGGTTTGAGTCTCCTTGGCTCATTCTACACCTAAGGGAAAAAAGGTCTATGTCATGTTTTGTTCACTGACAGGAGTGTCTGTTACCGCTTATTTAAATATTACATGTCAGGTTTTAAATAAGGATTAAATAAATTTCATTGTGGTTTTGCCTAGAAATGATGCAACTGGAGTTTATTTCCAGAAGATGAGTTCCAGGACATGACTGCACAAGTTCCATAGATATTCCAGCACCACTAGACTTCCAGAAAGGTTTGAATACCATTCAGGAACAGTGCATTACATTTTAAAAGTCTGCTCCAAGTATATACCTTATACTTACATTCACTTTTCATGAATACATGTTATTTAACAACCAAATGACAAGGAGTTAAGCTCTTATGGTTCAAAGATATCTTAGATAAATATATTAGATATCTATATTATTATAGACATATAATAACATATCTATATCAGTTCAGACATTCAGTCGTGTCCAACTCTTTTGAGACCCCATGAACCGCAGCACGCCAGGCCTCCCTGTCTATCACCAACTCCCAGAGTTCACCCAAACCCATGTCCATTGAGTCAGTGATGCCAGCCAACCATCTCAACCTCTGCCGTCCCCTTCTCCTCCTGCCCCCAATCCCTCCCAGCATCAGGGTCTTTTCCAATGAGTCAGCTCTTCGCATCAGGTGGCCAAAGTATTGGAGTTTCAGTTTCAGCTTCAGCATCAGTCCTTCCAATAAACACCCACGACTGATCTCCTTCAGGATGGACTGATTGGATCTCCTTGCGGTACAAAGGACTCTCAAGAGTCTTCTCCAACATCACAGTTCAAAAGCATCAATTCTTCGGCGCTAAGCTTTCTTTATAGTCCAACTCTCACATCCATACATGACCACTGGAAAAACCATAGCCTTGACCAGACGGACCTTTGTTGGCAAAGTAATGTCTCTGCTTTTTAATGTGCTGTTTAGGTTGGTCATAACAATCACCATCTGCAGTCATTTTGGAGCCCAGAAAAATAAAGACAGCCACTGTTTCTCCATCTATCTGCCATGAAGTGATGGGACCAGATGCCATGATCTTAGCTTTCTGAATGTTGAGCTTTAATCCAACTTTCTCACTCTCCTCTTTCACTTTCATCAGGAGGCCCTGTAGTTCTTTTTCACTTTCTGCCATAAGGGTGGTGTCATCTGCATATCTGAGGTTATTCATATTTCTCCCAGCAATCTTGATTCCAGCTTGTGCTTCCTCCAGCCCCGCATTTCTCATGATGTACTCTGCATGTAAGTTAAATAAGCAGGGTGACAATATACAGTCTTGATGTACTTTTTCCTATTTGGAACCAGTCTGTTTTTCCATGTCCAGTTCTAACTGTTGCTTCCTGACCTGCATACACGTTTCTCAAGAGGAAGGTCAGGTGGTCTGGTATTCCCATCTCTTTCAGAATTTTCCACAGTTCATTGTGATCCACACAAAGGCTTTTGGTATAGTCAAAAAAGCAGAAATAGATGTTTTTCTGGAACTCTCTTGCTTTTACGATGATCCAGCAGATGTTGGCAATTTGATCTCTGGTTCCCCTGCCTTTTCTAAAACCAGCTTGAACATCTGGAAATTCATGGTTCACTTATTGTTGAAGGCTGGCTTGGAGAATTTTGAGCATTACTTCACTAGCATGTGAGATGAGTGCAATTGTGCGACAGTATGAGCATTCTTTGGCATTGCCTTTCTTTGGGACTGGAATGAAAACTGACCTTTTCCAGTCCGGTGGCCACTGTTTAGTTTTCCAAATTTGCTGGCATCTTGAGTGTAGCACTTTCATACCATCATCTTTTAGGATTTGAAATAGCTCCACTGGAATTCCATCACCTCCACTAGCTTTGTTCATAGTGATGCATCCTAAGGTCCACTTGACTTTGCATTCCAGGATGTCTGGCTCTAGGTGAGTGATCACACCATCGTGATTATCTGGGTCATGAAGATCTTTTTTGTACAGTTCTTCTGTGTATTCTTGCCACCTCTTCTTAATATCTTCTGCTTCTGTTAGGTTCATGCCATTTCTGTCCTTTATTGAGCCCATCTTTACATGAAATGTTCCTTTGGTATCTCTAATTTTCTTGAAGAGATCCCTAGTTTTTCCCATTCTATTGTTTTCTTCTATTTCTTTGCACTGATCGCTGAGGAAGGCTTTCTTATCTCTCCTTGCTATTCTTTGGAACTCTGCATTCAAATGGTAATATCTTTCCTTTTCTCTTCTCTTCTTTTCACAGCTATTTGTAAGGCCTCCTCAGAGAGCCATTTTGCTTTTTTGCATTTCTTTTTCTTGGGGGTGGTCTTGATTCCTATCTCTTGTACAATGTCACGAACCTTCGTCCATAGTTCATCAGGCACTCTTGTCCATCAGATCTAGTCCCTTAAATCTATTTCTTACTTCCACTGTATAGTCATAAAGGATTTGATTTAGGTCATACCTGAATGGTCGAGTGGTTTTCCCCGCTTTCTTCAATTTCAGTCTGAAGTTGGCAATAAGGAGTTCATGATCTGAGCCACAGTCAGCTCCCGGTCTTGTTTTTGCTGACTGTATAGAGCTTCTCCATCTTTGGCTGCAAATAATATAGTCAAGCTGATTTCGGTGTTGACCATCTGGTGATGTCCATGTGCAGAGTTTTCTCTTGTGTTGTTGGAAGGGGGTGTTTGCTATGACCAGGGTGTATTCTTGGCAAAACTCTACCAGCCTTTGCCCTGCTTCATTCTGTACTCCAAGGCCAAATTTGCCTGTTACTCCAGGTGTTTCTTGACTTCCTACTTTTGCATTCCAGTCCCCTATAATGAAAAGGACATCTTTTTTGGGTGTTAGTTCTAGAAGGTCTTGTAGGTCTTCATAAAACCGTTCAACTTCAGCTTCTTCAGCGCTACTGGTTGGGGCATAGGCTTGGATTACCGTGATATTGAATGGTTTGCCGTGGAAACAAACAGAGATCATTCTGTCATTTTTGAGATTGTATCCAAGAATTGCCTTTCAGACTCTTTTGTTGACTATGATGGCTACTCCATTTCTTCTAAGGGATTCCTGCCCACAACAGTAGATATAATGGTCATCTGAGTTAAATTCACCCACTCCAGTCCATCTTGGCTCAATGATTCCTAGAATGTCGATGTTCATTCTTGGCATCTCCTTCCTGTTTGACCACTTCTAATTTGCCTTGATTCATGGACCTAACATTCCAGATTCCTATGCAATATTGCTCTTTACTGCATCGAACCTTGCTTCTATTACCAGTCCCATGCACAATTGGGTGTTGTTTTTGCTTTGGCTCCATCTCTTCATTCTTTTTGGAGTTATTTCTCCACTGATGTCCAGTAGCACACTGGGTACCTACCAACCTGTGGAGTTCATCTGTCAGTGTCCTATCTTTTTGCCTTTTCATACTGTTCATGGAGTTCTCAAGGCAAGAATACTGAAGTGGTTTGCCATTCCCTTCTCCAGTGGACCACATATCTATATATTAATATATATATTAGATATCTGCTAGGCATCTATATTAGAGAACTAGAGTCATACACTTAAAAATTACTACAGCAATGATTAGACTCCATTGATTACTAAACAGATTATACTATACTATCTAATCTATAATACAGTATATACCTGTACTACAGATTATAATAAAATTAGTTGTGGGCTTTGGCACTGATTTTTGACAAATGTTTACTGTTGCCAAGTTACCTCAGTCATGTCTGACTCTGTGCGACCCCATAGATGGCAGCCCACCAGGCACCCCATCCCTGGGATTCTCCAGGCAAGAATACTGGAGTGGGGTGCCACTGCCTTCTCCGAAAACGTTTACTAGGTACTTTTATTTTTGACAGGTGTCCACTGATAAAATATGATTAACGATGAGCCTAAATATGGCATCTGATAGTAGAGGAGACCCTGGAGGAGGGCATGGCAACCCACTCTAGTATTCTTGCCTGGACAACCCCATGGACCCAGGATACTGGAGGGTTACAGTCCACAAGGTCGCAAAGTCAGACATGACTGAAGTGACTTAGCACCGCACAGCACAGTGCAGAAGGATGAATAATTGAAATTCAGAAAAATTAGAAATGCTACTCTTTAAGAAAGACAAATAAGAAACCAGATTGTCTTCAACCAACTTGGAGAATATATAATACATACTAGAGATATTAGGCTTAAGAGGTCTCTGGGCAAATGCAAAGGATGATGAAAGAAAAAAGGCTGGGTTTTGCAGCTTAAAGAAAGAGGCCATACTCTCTATTTCCTTCCTTTGCATCCTCAAATAAAACTAAACTGTCTCAGAAAGAGGACTGAGTTATAGCTTTTCAGTAAGTATTCACTGAGTAAATAAAATACCCTGGATTGCCAAGGTAGCAGCTTTTGAGGATCAGAAAGTAACAAGCCCTAAACGTGAAAGCAAACTTTCATTCATAAAAAAAAAAAAAAATTACAGAAGCAAACAATTTTAACACTAATTATGCAACCAAACTCCCTCAGCTTGAAACAACCCTAGGTCTAAAAACAACTGGGCTCAGGGTTTAGCCCATATCTGACTAAAGATGTAAAATATCATTCACAACCTGTATTTCTTCAGATTACTCAACTATGCAACTATTGAAAACAATAGAAAGACTAGCATCAATGCTACGCCTTCTACATACGGCCTCCAATCCTCATAAAAGTACTGCAAGATGAAGAAAATGAGGATCAGATAATTTAGGTAATTTGTGCAGTATGTAACGGAAAAGAGGTTTGCCTGACCCCAATTACATCACATTTGGCCCACTGATCAAAAACCAGTTCATGCTGACTCCCTAAAGGGAACCTATATCATTTCTAGAATAAGGAAGAACTACAAGAAGAACCTGTATAGATCTAATCAGACTATGATATCTGTTTGGGGGTTTCACTGTCTAAGAAAAGTATGGAAAAATTAAAAATACATTAAAAAAAAAAAAGATTACAAGGTTAAAACAAACAGCTATATAAAAATGTTTATTTTTGAGGTTCTCCTTTTGTTT